CGTGGCCCTCGCAACCTTGTCGCAACCTTCTCGCAACATTCTGGGAACCTTTCCGGAACGTTCCCCCGGAACCTTGGGCGGGAAGGTCGCGGGAACCTTCCGCGGTACAGACTGAGGTGGGTGACAAGAGTGGCGCCTCAGAGGCGTAGAGGATACAATAGATAGTGAGGCGAAGAGCACCCAGAGGCGCGGTCTGGGACATCGCAGGCGTGGTGCGGGTGGACGAGAGACCGCAGATGACGCCATGCTAGAGCTACACCCACTCACACACCTCACACACCTCACACACGCGACGGCGCCCTTTGTCTCCCTTTTCTCCAGAGGTGGAGGTGCGAAGGAGGCCCCCCCCCACCCCAGCAAAGGCTTTAGCGGCGGCCCCGGCGCCGGCGGCTGGCAAGGACGCCGCCCCTCCCCGCCCTGCCTCAAGGTGTGCTGGGACGCGCCACTCATGGAGGTGCAGGGGCCGGTGCAGACAGGCTTTGGCTTCCACCTCATCCTCGTCACGAAGCGGACGGACCCGGCGGCCGACAAGACAAAGTGAGCGCGGTCGCGCTGGCGCATTCGGCGCGATGGCGGACAGCGTCGGCGCGTATGTACATGCGGGGTCCGCCCCGGCACCGGCCGTGTCGGCGGCTGCCTTTTGAGTCTGGGCGCACTGGGCGGCTCTGGGAGCACTCCCAACAGTAAACAGACACTTGTCGTTTAATCGAATCTCTAGCTCGCTTTTCCAGGAGGGGGGGGGGGGGGCTCTGAGTTAGCACATCTGATCAGCCGCGCGTGGGGTCAATTTTTTATCATTTGCAGGAAATGCAATCATCGGACATCGCATGTTTTTCTTGTCTAAATCTCTGCCCGCAGGGGGGGGGTGCACGTGCAGCTGCAGGCCCACGAGGCAGCTTTACCAGAAACCGTGTGTGGAGTGTCAGTGTGGCGTCTGGCGATCTCTCTTCTCTGCACTCTGTCCCTGGAGAGAGAGCCGCCGCTCTGCGCTCTTTGAGTACTGAGAGAAAGAGCCTACCGAACCCCGAGAGGTGGTTACCTTACCCGCACCTCTCCCGGCCCCCATACTGCATCCGTTGTGTCCGAGCAAAGTCTAGGACTCTATTGGAAAGTAGAAAAAGAAATAGGTGATGCAATTCCGGCTATACTGTATCCCCCCCGTGCGACGCCGAGAGGCGAGAGTCATTGACATTGTGAAACCCATTACCCGTACACGAATACCGGAACACGTACCGCGCCGCCGCCGCCCGCCCGAGGCGCTCTAATCCACATAGTTTAATCATAGTTGCCGGAAAGTGCCCTCCTGTCCTGCAGAGCCCCCGCCGCCCGCGCCGCCCGGGCGACGGCTGCTGGGTCGGCGTCGAGCTGCGTTCCGCTCATTAGGGCGTTCGCCATCCGCCGAGCCCGGGCGTTGAGAGCCCGCGCGTTGAGAGCGGCCCAGACTTGCGGCCCAGACTCGCTCTCCTCACCCGGTGGTACGGGCCGGGGGGAGAGAGGTCTCCTCTCCCCCTTCCCCTCCTCCTCCTCCTCCCACTCCTCCTCCTCCTCCTCCTTCTCGACGTCGGCCGACTCGCTGCCCAGAGGCACCGAAGGCACCGTCGGCGCGGAAACCGGCCTCGCTCTCGGCGCCGCAACGCTCCCCGTACTGCCGAGCGCCGCCCCTCGCCCCCGGCCCACGGTTACCGGCTGCCGCCGCGACCGACTCACCACTTGAGGTAAGGCTTCGCGGCTCTCGACCGCCTCCTGCAAGGCCGCCTCGCTGTCGTTCTCCAAAAGCCGCGTGTGCGCCTATATACAGTACGCGCCATGAAGACGCGAGGGTCAGGGGGGAGGGCATGGCTGCGGTGTACAGACCGCGCCGTGTGATCTCGGGGAGCACCGCACGAATGCAAGGGCTACGAATACAATGGACTGGCTGAGTGCGTCCTCCTCTCTCGAGAGCGCTCGTCGAACCATCTCTGTGTGTGCCAGTCTACAAGCTTGTGCGCGCGCCCTGCTCTCGCGCCGCCGGCGGTAGCGCGGCAGGAAGCAGATGCAAGCGTAGAGCGCGGTCGCCGCGGCCAGCCCGGCGGCCATTATCACCAGCGAAGTGGCGAGGAGTCGGCGGGAGCTGCAGTCGATGCCCGGCGCGCCAGGGGCGCACCCAGACAGATCGCTGATGAGCCCCGCGCCGTTCTGCTTCAGCGCCTACTCTGTTGCGATCTCGTGTTCATCACTCTCGGGACGATCTCACCGCTGAGTAGCCGCTGCCAGCGCCTTGAGAGAGCCAGCAGCCCCGGCGGAGACAATGGACAGCACACCGGGCGCGTCTAGCGGCGACGACGGCGGCGGCAACGGCGGCGGCGAGAGCGGCGGCGATGACGGGGGAGAGGGCGAGGGCGGCGGCGGCGACGGCGTTGGCGGTGACGGTGGCGGAGGGCTTCGAGGCGGCGGGGACGGCGATGGCGGAGAAGGAGGTGGCGGCGAGGGCGGTGGGGGTAGGGGCGGAGGAGAAGGTGGCACTGGGGGCAGGGGAGGCGCCGGGCTTGGAGGCGGCGGAGACGGCGGTGGCGGACAAGGAGGCGGCGACGAGGGCTGCGGGGACGGGGGCAGCCGGGGTAGGGGTGGAGGAGC